AAAATATATATATATATATATATATATATATATATATATATATTGTTTTACCATTTATCTTTATGGATTAATTTTTGCTGTTTATAAAACTGTTCAATATAATTAATATTTTGTCTGTCTGTCTATCTATCTGTCTGTCTACAGTTCTGTCAATCTATTGCTAATTATTTTATCATGATGAAAATTGATATGAAAAGTTGTGATTCATATCATTTTTCACTTTTTAGATATTTCTAAAAATAAATAAAATTTTAAAATTGTAATATTAATTTATTTTTTAAATAAAAAAAATATTTTTTAGATATTTCTAATACTTTTTAGATTTTTTTTATAGATATTTCTACTTTAATCTCAAAATCTTTCCTTATGTACAATTTCAAAATTCCAAAACATTTTCTTAAGAACTGCATATTTCAAAATTTCGATCTTAGGTTTTTAGTGTGGTGTCAGACTTTAAACCCCATTCTAAATAGACACAAACAGTAATATTCACCTTTAATGCCTGCTTAAATTTATTTATTTATTTATTTTTATTTTTTAATGCATGCATGTTTTTTTTTCTTCAGGGTTCTTTTACAGTGATTTGCTTACAGCTTCACCCTTGGCCAGAGTGCAGTAGTGAAACTGTAAGTGACAGTGCCAGGTTTGCCCTGTTCTGTTTCTATCCTAGTATTAATCCAGCAGCCCCACTACTCTTTAAGAAAGACCTCATTACCAGCCTCATTGATTGTGCTTCCTGCATCAACGACCACAGCTTCTTCTACCACACCAGCTGAGAGAGAGAGAGAGAGAGAGGGGAGGCTTAGCCCAGTGCATCTGTGTGTTTAAAATATTCTCACAACCCCAAACTTTTGAACAGTAGTGTACATTATATTAGTATACAGTGTGTTTTTATATATGTTTTTATGTAGCATCCAGAAAACCACACATTTTAAAGACTTCCTTCATATTTCATAGGAAGCTTCGGGCTTTAAGATTTCAGCACCTCAGCACAAACTCCACCCTCAGTGATTCAGCGAAGCAGGATAGAGGTTTTCTCTCGGGTGGGTGAAGCGATTGTTCCTCGGTTTGAGTGTTTATAGGCAGGAGGATGTAGTCCTCAGTGTTACTGCCTAATAAAAAAGCTTGCATGCTGTGTGATTAAATAACAGGGATGGCAGTAAAGAGAAAAGACATAATGATGGTTACATGCAGGTCAGTTACAATTTAATTGTCATTGCACTTCATTGCGAATGTATCAATTTGCTGCTGCTTAGCTGAGCAGAAAACAATGCTTTAGCACATAGAGGGAGTCCTGCTGACTGCCTGTCAATTTACCCAGTCTCATCCTTGTTTTGTTTGTCTCCTCTCTTAAGAAAACAAAATTTGTTCTTCCGAGGAAGCTAAAGCCACTGGTCACTTTGTTTGTCACGCCACCTTGTTTAATCCTACTTTTTATGATAACTTGAAATAATGTGTGCTGTGTATCCTAGATAGTTTTGAATTGTATAAATTATTTAGAGTAGACTTCTCTGATTAGGGCTTTTGGAATAACAATGCAATGTTTTTGCTCCGGTTCGGTTGACACTTAACAGATTTTTTTTCTTTTTCTTCTGTTGACATATTTTGTTTTTGTGGCTGTAAATTGCATCATGTTGCATCAGGGTTAGCCATACTAAGAGCCATGCTGATTTCTTTTTGGGTCTGTCCAAATCCTTTTATTAGTGGGTCTTTCAATGGCACAATCCACACTAGCTCCAAAGAACATAATACACTGGTCGAGTCTGCACACTCCAAACGGTCTCCCCACTGAGCTAGTTTTAAGTCCATAAGTCTTAGTCAAATGTCACGACATGACTGATGCTTTTTTAAAAAGCGAGCCGTTTGAGACAATCAAAGTGTGGGCCTAGTGGGCTTGTTAGGGCTCCCTCTGTCTGTCCAGTTCCTCTGAAGTCTGTTCGGACCGCTTGTGTTTACGTTTCTCAGCTCTTCGCCTGTGACAATCCACATATGGTCATTTATCAAAGATCTGCGCTTCACAAGAAACTGTTTTTGCGAAGCTGTCAGGCCAGTGATATCTCTGAAGACTTTATTGTACAAACTTGTCAGAATTCCCATCAGACTCGCGATCGCAGCCAGCCGTGTAGTACCCTCTTCCATCTCTAGCCCAATGATTTGTGTTCAGATGAAAAACCCAAACCATCCCAATAAAGTTTTGGCAAGGACGGATCGGTTTAATTGGCAGGCAATTGATGCGCCAATAGACTGTCATCCTGGGGGTCAAGAGTAATTTATTGAGATGCTAACTGCCTTTTTTTTTTGGGCCACCGTTCCATATTGAAATTCCCATCCAGACAGTATTACATGAGAAGATGATGACTTGATCCCCTGTTAATTAGAATAACATTTCCAGCAGCTGAGGCATAGCTGTTTAATGCGAGGGCAGTGGGCCGCACAGGAGAGGCCAGCCGGCTGGATCTGCGGCCCCAGAGCCTCAGAGATCCAGGCAGCGGGGGCAACTCTCCACACTTCCAGCGGATGAGTGGTGGAAAGCTGGTAAATCTACGACCACAGCTTCTTCTACCACACCAGCTGAGAGAGAGAGAGAGAGAGAGGGGAGGCTTAGCCCAGTGCATCTGTGTGTCCTGCATTATGGGTAGGGAGGTAAGCAGTAGGCAGGAGGTTTATGGTGCTGTAATTGGTAGTTAGTGTGATATTTGTAAGACAAATAGAGCTATATGTGCGATTCCTCCTCTCTCTCCTCTCTAGTCTTTACAGCCACCAAAGGGCCTCATTATAGCCCACTGCAACCCAGGCCTCACTACATCGCACACACACACACGAAGGGCAGGAAGTTGTGTGTGACAGTTCGGCTGCCAGGACTGATAGATGATACAGTAAGTGTGGTATTCATTGAGAGAGGACCCTGATGGTCTGGGGAATGAAACAGCTCTTCATTACATCGCAACCCAGTGGACGTTTTACACTCACGCTGTGCGCGGCGGGACTGACTGAGTTTAATGTGGTCACTCATGCATATGCGGGGTTCTGAATTAACTTTTTTACAAGACCTGCCAATGGTGAGCAAATCTGGAAAACAGCCATCTATCACTGTGTTGTTATTGTTAACTAAAACTAAAACTATTATATTATTGTTTTTTTTGGTCATTAAAATAAAGATGACATAAAGTAAAATATAAATATTAGATTTAAAAAATAAAATAAAATGCTGTCTTGGCAACTAATTGAAATAAATTGAAAGTACTAAAATTACTAAAACTAAAATAATAAAATTACTAAAACTAAAATATATATAAAAATTAATTCAAATGACAAAAGCAAGCTACAGAATTACCTATTTTTTTTTAGAAAAAATATAAAATTAAATTAAAAACTGAAAATATGAAAATAAAAGATTATAAAAATGATTAATAAATACTATAACAGTATATAAATAATACTAAATGCTGTAACTGTCTAATTTAGTGTTTTTGTTAAAATGTTAAAATATTATATATATATATATCAAGAGTTTGGTTCCAAAACGCTATAAATCCATTTTGATTAATTTGAGTAAAAATGTGTTTTCTTTACCAAGAAAGTGGCTAGCTTGTCTGTTTCTTTCTATCCTGTCGAATCAGTTCTCCAGTGACATGTGTATTTGTGTTTAAGATGAAAACCACTATTTTCTGTTTCAAACTTTCACATAGCATCTTTAAGTTATAATAACATTAAAAATTCAAATCCAGATTTTGATTTTCAAAGATTTATTATAAAATTGTAATTTTTTCCCCAAAATGCAATAAATCCATGACACATTTTTTTTTTTCAAAATGCAATAAATCCATTGAATCAATATAAAAGTTATTTGTCATATTGAAACTGTTGAAAATACACAACATAGTAAGTTGATCCACATATGACAGCCTCTGAACTTGGTCAATACTAATCTTATATGCAGGCACTGGACTAAAAATA